AAAAAAAAATTCGGGAATTTCCCTTTTTTCCTTCAAATTCCCCAAAAAAAAAAAAAAAAAAAAAAAAAAAAAAAAAAAAAAAAAAAAATCCAGTGAAAATATATTCCATACAAAATACCTAAAATGTCTTTTCAGCGAAAATTAATTTCAGTGAAAATAAATTATTTCACAGTACTACAATATAATTTGCAGTAAAAAACATAAAAAGTATAGCAAATTTCCAAATAATTTCATAAAAACAAACAGCTAGTACTCACCCTTCCTCAACATACAAAGCCAATCCTCTCACCATTTCAATCTCGTCTTTTATTATAATTTTACGCATGCTCCCATCATTACTGATAACTTCTATAGTTTTCCTCATGACATCTGTCCAGTAGATATTACCTGTACTCTCATCAACTCTCACCGTCTCACTGAGAATAAACTCATTTGTCAGAATACTCTTCACATTTTTCCCATCTAAGTCGCATCTCAGAAGATTCCCTGGTGAGAATAAAAATAAACATTCATATCAAAATTACGACCATATGATGCTTTATTTTTATTTTTAGCTAAATCATTGCAAGTGTATTCATCTAACCTGTCAAATGTTTTTCCATACTCAATATCACAGATACTCTGACAAATGTGCGCTTCCCTTGCGCTGTTTTTGTTCTGAATACATTACACCAGAGGTACATTACCTGGTGTTTGCAACAAGCATAGTACTGTATGGCGACATCATGTCAAGATTCTATTCAAGTCTCATCTCGTAGACAGCGAGACTGGTGCTACGACCTTCTGACATGACATAGGCGGTTTGTAATAAAACATGTATTACCACATTCATAGTGAAAAAATGTAATACATCGAAAATGTACAGAAAATATAGTTATCGTAATCTGTCATATCGTGAGCAGCTATTTTGATCCACCTGGACATCCCAGTATCCTAGTTACCTCGGGCATGCGCATTCAAATTGGAACGCTTATGCGAGAGCGAGATTGAAACAGGATCTTGGTATCATGTCACCATAGTTGCAAACCCCATGTAATGTACCTCTGATTTCACACAGCATTTTTCACTTTCCAAATGATATAGAAAGACCAGCTTGCAATATGTTTCATCAAATATTAAAATAAGCACATTTTCTTTGAATATTCACCAGCAGTTGCCAACAGTTATGAGACGAGCTACTGGTCAGAATGTGGTTTGAACTCTTGAAAATGTGAATTGTAAACCCAATCTGGTGACAAACACCTATTTCAGACCAAGAGCCAGCAATTCTGTGTCCAATTAGGTCCAATATACATGTAAACAAATTTGAATGAAATTTTTCCTCATGACAGAGATCCAGTTTTGGAATGATGAGAAACAGTTGTCAGGAATCGGCCATCTTGAATCACTTCGTGAAATAAAAAGAAGTATTCCAAAATGTACAATGCATGTGTGAAGTTTAAATATGATCTGTCCAGATTGCAGGTGAGAGAGAAGAACGTATATGTATCAAGCTCACACAGGGCAATCATAAAGACTAGCTAGCTTTATAGGACTCGAAAATAGCATTCTCAGAAAAGTTCTACGACAGTTTCAGTCATGAATACGTAAAGTATACCTACCAGTTTCAACATCAGTCCAATATAACAAGCGTCTGGTCCAGTCGATATCAAATGATAACACACTGTTTAACGCTGTCTCAATTGGCAACAGCTGATTATCAATGGCGGGCCATGTTAACACGTGTATAGCAGAATGGTCTGTGTAGATTACTGATAAAGCTGCATCGAAGTGAGAGAGACAAGTATGAATCACATAAATCAGCACATGGTACAATCTTAGTCATGGTAGTATGTGTACATGCATCCTATTATGTATTTAATGTAAAATACTTAATTTCAGCTGGAATTTATTTATGCTGAAAAGACTTTTTGGGTGTTTTGTATGGAATTTATTTTCACTGACGAGTTGAAGGTAAAATATAGGATATAAAGTATATTCACTGGATTTTATTTTCACTGAATCATTCCTTCAGCGAAAATAGTGAAAATAAA